AATGCAGGGTCTCATTCTAGGCGAAAGACATATTTTTTAATTGTGGATATTTTCCTAAGATAAAAAAATTGTTCCAACCAACTAGTGATACTAGAAATTAAGGACTTTTAAGGACCGTGAATCAAAATTAAGTACTTTTAAGGGCCCTTAATATTCAAAATAAAAACTAAGCAGTTTTTAAGGACTTTTAAGGACCGTGGGAACCCTGTATATGCAAATAATTACTTTATCCGAATTAGTTAGACTGCATAAATGCAAGATTAAGTAAAACTAGAATTAAAATATAAGAAAAAGGAATTATTTCCAGAGCATGAGGAGGAAAGCAACCTTAAAAAAAAAAAAAAAAAAAAACACTAACTTATTTCAAGCAGTATCAACAATCGAATGTGTGTCAATTCGGGTATTCAAGCTCAAAGATAACGGTTACAGTCAAAAAGTGATCTGCACAAGTCATTATCCGAAAATTAAATTAAAAAATTTAGGCGATGGCTGAAAGGTTGAAATATGAGGGTAATCTGTTTGCATCATCACATACACACGTACATATATATAGCTAAAGGAGTACCCTTTAAACAGAATTTTAATTTAAAATACTAACTTACATAGCATTCTCATACTAAAATTACTGCAAAGAAAGTGAAATCTATTATGTTTGTATTGTTACTAAAAATATAATATTTAAAATTTTTGATTTGAGTGTTTAATGCAAGGTTAAAACTGTCACTTGCAAAAAATTTTTGAGCAGCCCAAGTTTGAAATCAAATTATTACCTAAAAATTCTGAACAGCTGATCAATTTCAGAGTCTCCACGGAACAAGGGAGTTCTGTTGGCCATTTCAGCAAATATACAACCAATGCTCCAAATGTCCACAGGCGTTGAGTATCTAGGCGACCCTAAAAGCACTTCTGGAGCTCGATACCACAGAGTCACCACTTCATGAGTATAAACACGCACAGGAACACCAAAAGCTCTGGCAAGTCCAAAGTCAGCAATTTTTATGATCCCTTTTTGATCAATTAACAAGTTTTGAGGTTTCAAATCTCTGTGAAGTATTCTGCGCTTGTGACAATACAATATAGCTTCTAGTAACTGATACAAATAACTCTGAAATGTTAAAATGCAAAAGTCATAAAAAGACAACTACAGTAAAAATGTAATTAACATCTTAAAATAGAAATTAAGTCATTAACTAATTGTTTTTTTTTTTGGTTTCAACCTATTAAGATATTTAAAGCCCAATTATTTTAACTGATAATAGAAAGTAACTTGTTGAAAACAATGCAAATTGAGATCATTCACAGTTCTAAACTTTATTAGCAGTCGGAATT